AATTTCTTGCATAGTGCTGATTTACGCCTACGATTCGCCTCACTAGTTGAAGGTAGACTGTCAAGCAAAAATGCAGTTTTTTGCTGGACATTGACGAGATACAGAAACCAATGACGTGCTTCATCGTCAAGAACTGGCATAAATATCTAGCAACGAAACACTCACTATATGTTATAAACAGCGAATACAAACAAATGCACTTTCGAAATTTAATGATATAGTGACATTGACTAGATTAACCTTCTGGCATGCACCGACATTCGGCATAAAGACCACGCCATCATTCATCAACTTGTTACGAATTTGTCTGGTCTTCATGTTAGCGCGTACCATTTTCTGCAGCATGTTTTAGTTGAGATGAATTGACATGGTACAATATAAATAACTAGGTTATGACAAATAATTTGACATTACGGCTCTTACCGAAAACATATTTGGCAAATACCACACATTTGGCTCTTTCACATCATGTTTTTCAGACATTGTTTGTGCCCTTGCACACAAATCCACTACCTACCATCCAACAATCAAACACAAAATCATGGTAAATCGTAACATAAATAGTGCACAATTCATACGAAAGTCGTAGTAGTATAGTACTTACTGATGAGCAAACCCAGCTATTCTCGCTAATGACCGAACTCAAATAATGTCGTTGCACGTTTTCAGAAAAAAAGTCCACAACGGTCAAACTGCAAAAATCAAAATAACAGAAATGTCAATTGTGATTTGCAACGTACAGGTCGACCTGTTCCCAGTCACGGTCGACCTTATTGGAAAAGCGGTCGACCTCATAACTGATCCGGTCGACCACACGTACTAAAAAACGTCTTACTTGTCCCAATTCTTGTCCCCAGCCTTCTCTTTAGTAACAACATAATACAAGTCTTCAACTGGATTTTGAAGATTTTTGGTGAATCCTTCTAGACCCTCCACTTTCATGACCTACAAATCATAGTTAAAATTAAAGTAACATATGAACACAAACACACATTATAGATGAATATGTAACGTAAACTTACCCCGTGCTTTTCGAAAGGACTCTTAGATTCTTCTTCATCGCTATCATCACTAAATAATCCTTTTCTTACAAATTGATCCTTCTGTGGAGTGGTGTAGGAGTCACTTTCATATCGAGGTCTCTTGTACTTAGGAGAGGAACCCTTGCTGCCATTCGTTGTTTCACTCTGTCAAACATATAAACAAAACAAATTAGCACTAATGATAGTAATACTAATATCTTCAATCACATATGAATATACTTGGATACCTTTAAAATGTGCTCTTTCAATAAATCGTCTATGCTCTGGTAGCAATTTTCAGAGTCATCATGGTCTTCTTCCTCTTTACCAAAGTCAAAATTAGGTCCTTTACCATTTCTTCCGCCATTCTCCATTCGTTCTGCACTTATATCTTTGATAGCACCTTCTAGCCTCTCAAACCCGTCATGCATCATCACAGTCATATCTTTCAGTCGAACTGACAATTGCTCCACTCTCACACATGGACTTCTGAAAGTCATTGACTTGTGTTTGACACACCACCAGCTTCTCTTGTGTGGCTTTCAACAATTTCATGATTTCACCCAAATCTTGATGCAGTTTCTCATCATGCGTCATTGTCTAAACAATTTCAAGAAAAATTTAAATCATAATTCAACTTCAAATTTCTACAATTGACCAAAAAACAAATACGTGGTCGACCTGACATAGTATTAGGTCGACCTGGAAGACAAATAGTGACTACCACAACCATTAAGGTCGACCTCTGTTATTCCTAGGTCGACCTATCCAGCAGGAAAATAACAATTAACAACAAAAAGTAAGTTCTAAATTAAACCGAAAAAAGGATAGGTCGACCAGATATTTGGCGCGGTCGACCTTTTGAAGCACAACATAGTCATACAATCAAAGCCAAAGTCGACATTCAGGTTGAATAACCAAAAAAACAGGAACGGTCGACCTTGAAACCCATTAGGTCGACCAATTGGGTTACCTCGCAAGTACAGAAATCCAAGTGTTGTGGCCTAAATTCAAATACGCAGAATTGTCTCGTCAGGTCGACCTGATTGACGTCACGGTCGACCGAATGGAATTCTGCACCCAACAATATATCAAATTAGCCGGTAGAAATCACGCATTAGAAAAGAAGACGACGAATGGTACATTAGGTCGACCTCACCTTAGCCCTGGTCGACCACTTCCAACGCGTACAACAGCAACCGCGAACGATCTTCTTCACAAAGGCTCTTAATCGGAAAAAAACCTAATTCAGACTTGGAGGCGTTGAAGGGGACTAATATTCGTATTTATAGAGATTTGGGACGTCAATGGGTCGACCCAATTCGTTTCCTTGTCCAATTGTGGAACCTTTCTGGTGTTGGAATCCATATCCAATACGGATACGGTGTGAAGGCGGTCGACCTCTTCCTAATGCGGTCGACCTGTTAGGTGCACAAGGGTCGGCCTATGAGATATTTGGGTCGACCTTTCATTCTGTTAGACCACCAAAGCGGTCGACCATATTATGTAATAGGTCGACCGCGTCTTGGAATCCCACAAACATGAATTAGTCAATTCGGTCGACCGCCTTCAGCAATAGGTCGACCGAAAAGTCCATGTCACGGTGACATGCATGTCACCGTAGCAAAATCCTAACTTATACAGAATGGTTAAGAGTTATGGGCATAATGACAATCGGTTCCTCTCATAGTCTCATATCACATTTCCAAATTTATTGTACACACAATTTAAGTATGAAGAAACAATGATCTAGGTAAATTGTGACGCAAAATGCTAATAGCATAAAAAAAAATTACGAGAGGTTGGTATAATATTCACATTTGGAAAAAAAAGTATTATTGAGAGCTTATTAATTCACTAATATTTATAGGTGGGGTGTTGTTTTAGAAATGGATAAAGGCTTAGTTTGGCCGTGTTGTAGCTTTTGCAGAAGCAGTTTCTGACTTGAGCTTTTAGAGAAGTATTTTTCAAAAAAAGCGGTTGAGTGTTTGGCTGAAAAACTATTAAAATTGCTTTTTAATATGAGAGGTTAGGTAAAATGATTATAAAGAACTTATAATATAAACTATGAATGATAATTCTAAACAATAAAATGTAGTCAAAATGGATCTTGTTAGACTTCTTTATATTATATAATATGATTTTATAATTTATTTTATTTTTAAAATGATATAAATGAAAGAAAATTATATTTTCTAAAATAAAATTAAAATATGGTAAGGATAATCTTGTATTTTCAAAATAGCTTTTCGCAGAAGCTCCAAATCGGAGCTTCTGCTTTTATGTTATACAAAAGCGCTTTTCGACTTTTCAAAAGCCGAACTTTTAGAGGTGTTTGGCCCTGCTTCAGCTTTTGAAGCCGAAAATCACTTCTAAAAGCCGGGCCAAACATAGGCAAAGGATAGTTTGTGACACTTTTCTCGTGGTAAATGCTCATACAAATCAAACATAGATTTTGGAGCTTTCACATATCAAATTAAGTTTCATGATGCCAACTGGTCGAACCTTATACTAGTTGAATTTTCTTTCTTTACACATGTACGTGTATATCATATACTAGTATTGTATCCGACTCGTTGGCCGGTTTGTGGTCATTTGTATATTTTTTAGTTAAACGTAGGTGGTTCGATTTTTTAGATTTGTGCAGTATCTTGATAGTTTATGTTTTTGAGTGCCCAACTTTATAGTTTTTATTGAATTTGTGTTTCATTTTATACTTAACCATAAGAAGTTTAAGTTAGACAAAGAATGAAATGAAAAGCTATCTAGAATTTATATTCATGCCTTGATATTGGTAAACATCACTGAATCAAAGCAAAAAATTTCAACAAATATCTTCATTTTTGTTATATGTGAAATAAGTAGCTTGCAAATGAAGCTTTGAAAATTAATTAATATATCACTATTTTAATTTATATATTGTAGATTGTCATCTACTGAATTAAAAAGGAAATAATGTACGAATATTACTATAGATTTATTACATTCAAATCGTTTAAAGATACAAGAATTCGAGGAAAAGGGGGGAAATGTGGTACGGAAATAGATTATTTGAACAATTATGTAAAATTACTAAGATAAAAAAAAATATAAGTATAGATGTATTAAATTTGTATTTTTTAAAAGAGACAAAAATGAAAAATATTATCAAAAGAATATTTTGACTTGAAATGACCTTTGTAGGTTATTCATCCATGTGAACTTAGTTATCAGAATTCAAATTTAACCTATAAAAATATATTCATATTTTTAAATGTTTTATTAACTATATCCTATGTTTTCAAAAGCGGAGTGGTTGTCGGATGGAAAATGTCAATGACTCACGATTAATTGTTTATCGTTATACAACTATTTTGGAATCGTTAATGGAACTATTCATTCATGTAAATAGTATAGATGTAATAATAGCGCAATTAGGTTGAAGAAGAATTTAAGTTGTTTCGTAGTACCAGATTTTATGTTTGACAATTTTCTACACAGAGTAAAGTCCAAATAATTATTGTAATAGTATTTACCTTAAAACAAATCTGATTTTCCTTAATCCTAATCGCATTTAAAAAAAAGAAAATCAAAAGTTCAATAATAATGAGTGACCCTTGGATACGCCACCGTTTGAAAAATGGGCAAAATTGCCCTTCCATCAAATAAGGAGAACCAATCAAAATACTAGGTGACAACAATGACATAGAGTGAAGTGAATAATATATTGTGTAGAGTAGATAGATAGATAGATGTAGACTAGATAAGCATGAATTACTACAAAACAGTGTGAAATAGGAGAGAGATAAAATTAGTCTCTTTGATTTTTCATCACAAGTGATTCATAATTGGAAGTTCTTAGTACGTCTTGTTTGACTACGATGAACTTTTTTTTTATGCCAGAATAACTCTCTTAGTATTGATTTTTGTATAGGTTGGATTAGGGTTAAACATGTTGGGATTAACGAATAGACAAACCTCCTATATCGAACATATGCAACTACAATTACATATATATTCTACGGATGTTTAAACAAATTTAAATGGTTACGGACACTACTCAAGCTATGCATCGAATTTACTCGTCTAGTTAGAGCTAATAATAAGCAACTATCAATAACGGTTTAGAAACACAAACTAATGTAACATAATTGAACCCATCACAAGTTTACGAAATCATAATTACACATACTTTTCCTATGTAGAGAAAAAAATCATAAAACATCATGGGCCTAAATAACAGAGTTTCAGTTTCCCACAGGCAGAGAAAGCCCTGATCCTACCCCATGGCCCAAGCCCAACTAATACAACCCAGCAGCAGTACTTCCGCCGGCAGCGCCGCCCCTGAGTGCGAGCACGAGATGAAGAACGTCGCCGGTTTCAATTTTGTAGTCCTTCCCGGTCTTGTCATCGGCCATCTGCTTCCCTTTGAAGATCAGCCGCTGCTGGTTCGGCGGAATTCCTTCCACCTCCTCCACTTTCACCTTTATCCCTGCAACCGTGTCGTTCAAGTCCACGTCGACACCAATCTCTTTCCCCGTCAGCGTCTTCACCTTGATCATCGTCCCTCCCCTCAGCCTCAGAACCAAGTGAAGCGTCGATTCCTTCTGAATGTTGTAATCGGACAGAGTTCTGCCGTCTTCCAGCTGCTTCCCGGCGAAAATCAGGCGCTGCTGATCGGCCGGAATCCCTTCCTTGTCCTGAATCTTGGACTTGACGTTGTCCACGGTGTCGCTGCTCTCCACCGCCAGGGTAATCGTCTTCCCGGTGAGTGTTTTCACGAACACCTGCATCTTTTTCGGTTGGTGCTTTCTTCTCCTTCGTTAATTGCAGTGCCAGTTTGAATTTTGGTTTGCGTTAGTTGGGGGTCGGCTATTTTTATAGCCACTGATTTTGATGCCGATTTCTTGTCGGAAAAGGAGAAACAGAGTTCCCTCCGACCAGTCCGAATTTGTGCCGGAGAAGGTTTGGTCATTCTTTCTGATTCCCTAGTTGCTGTTATCTCAGCACATACGGCACCGCATTGTGGTGTCTTTTCCCTTGTAGAGATTTTTAGGAAGCTGATCAATTTTACCAGATTAGAATGGTAGGTCCTTGTAGAATCATTAATAGTAGATGGTCGCCAAAATAAAGGGAGCGGATTATTTTTACTAGATTTGGCTGGAACCAATGCTAAATGAGAATGAAGTTTGATATCGGTATTTGAGATATACCGAATATTGTACTGAATTTGTCGATATTTGGTAGTATAGAATATATATATTATTTCGTGGAATTGAGATTGGGATTGAATTTCAAGTGTTATTTGTTATTAGAGATTATGAAATTGAAATCGTTATATATATCGAAATACTGAACAATGACGAAATATAAGGTACTGTGTATTTTATCCCTCCCAGCTTGGCTCCCTATCTCACTACTAACAAAACCTCAACCGCCAAAATGGTCACTTAATTATACATTGTTCATTCCTTCACTATTTGACAACTCGCACCAACCTCTTTTTGTTACTTGTAGTATATTTATGGGTTGCATAGTCCTTCCATGTTTCATTTTGTTAATTTAGTTTGTTAATGTGCTTTTTAGACACCACATTGTCTAGTTTGTTGTTATTATACTTGAGATCTCTTCTCATTTGTTTTGAACGAGCGTTTGCACTACTGTTTGTTTTTATATATTTCGAGAATAGTTTTGAACGAGTCTAGTCAGCATCTATCACAGTGTTTCTAAAGTTATTGATGGAGCGCCTATATCTTTATATTTTTTAAAAGATGACTATTATTGTCACAAAGTGCACAGTCATGGCTATCTATGTGTACTTTTCCCAATTTAATCAAAAGTTGACTATTATTGTCACAAAGTGCATAGTCATGGCTATCTATGTGTACTTTGCCCAATTTAGTTAAAATTGTGTTTTGAAGTTTAAAATCTTATGCTTTTACGCTTTTAGATCACCAAAACGCCTTAACGGACCGTTTGGTACCAAATGAATCAAGAATTCATTTCATTTTAAAATGAATTACTTTGTAGAATTCATTGTCAAATGAATTCCTGTGTTTGACATGTCTTATTCGGTTCTTTAGAAATAAAATGAATTGAAATCTCAAACCATGTTTGGCAATTGGCATACATTCATAATTTAATTAAATTAAAAGTTTCCAACTATACCCTTATTAATTCCCCGCAGAAATAATATTCATTGAAAATCCATCTTCTAAAACACGCAAGTGACAAAGTTATTATCCAAACATTTGGAAATAGTAGAGAGTTGGTTTCATTGCCAAATAGCAGGTTGTCGCTTAGCCCGCGTAACGAAATTTGGAGTCACCCAGAATGCAGAGTTTAAGAGAAATTATATATATCAGGTTAACGTACCGACAAAAAGAGTAGGGTTTGATCGTGGCATTGGTCCATTTCCTCCCTTATCCAATCGGCCAATTGAAGGAGTTCCATATTCAGAATAATAATTGTTCACCAGCACACTACATCCGCCACTGGAGCAACTGTTGGCAGCTCACATCTCTAATCTCTCCATTTGACCTTCAACTAGCTCACGTCGATCTCCATATTCAGAATAATTTATACATCTCCCATTACTGTTTCTTTTCATTTATTATTTGAGTTAATTATAAGAAAAATAACAACCATCGTAATCTAGTAAAGTCAAAACGAAAAGTCGCTACGTTACCAAAAACCATTAGTCTAGCCAACATCTATCACGGTACTGGAAAAAAAACATCGGATTGAATTCCCTAATAAACATAATAATGATTACATCCAGATCCAGACATAGATTGAATCCACTCAGTCTAAATCCCAACTAATACAACCCAGTATTACTTAACCCGCCGCCCCTGAGTGTAGGGGCGGAGCTACAGCATGTCTCGGGGGGCCCCGGCCCCCCCGAGAATCACGAAAGTCACGTATAAATAAGTCGGGATCGTGTGTACAAACTATAATTTATATATAAAATATAAACCGTGTAAAGTTAAGACATAAAGTTTCTTGTAGCCCAGCGGAAGATGAACTATTTATAACCCAAAGGTCTCGGGTTCGATTCCAAAGGGAAGCAGTTTATATCTTTCCCCTAGGTTAATTACTTTTATGGTAGTTTACCTAAGCTACAACTTCTCCTTCCTTTTCTTTTATAGTAAGCGCCCTAGGTTAATTACTTTTATGGTAGTTTACCTAAGCTACAACTTCTCCTTCCTTTTCTTTTATAGTAAGCGGGCATTAAATACTTTAGTCATTAACTTTGTAATTTTTATTTTCCTTTTTAAATTATAGTTTACATCAATTAATTACCGCTTTTGCTTCTTGAAATATATTATTTTTTATTATTCTAATTTATAGTAAATATAATGTGAAAAATATTTTATATGGTTATAATAAAAAAAATTAGTATAAAAATAGATTTTTAAACCTAAATATTTTAATTATTAGTAAAAAAAATTAGTCTTTTGCAGTAATGTATTATGAAATCCGCCCCCCCCAGCACTAAATGCTAGCTCCGCCCCTGCCTGAGTGCGAGCACGAGATGAAGAACGTCGCCGGTTTCAATTTTGTAGTCCTTCCCGGTCTTGTCATCCGCCATCTGCTTTCCTTTGAAGATCAGCCGCTGCTGGTTCGGCGGGATTCCTTCCACCTCCTCCACTTTCACCTTTATCCCTGCAACCGTGTCGTTCAAGTCCACGTCGACACCAATCTCTTTCCCCGTCAGCGTCTTCACCTTGATCATCGTCCCTCCCCTGAGCCTCAGCACCAAGTGAAGCGTCGATTCCTTCTGAATGTTGTAATCGGACAGAGTTCTGCCGTCTTCCAGCTGCTTCCCGGCGAAAATCAGGCGCTGCTGATCGGCCGGAATCCCTTCCTTGTCCTGAATCTTGGACTTCACATTGTCCACGGTGTCGCTGCTCTCCACCTCCAGAGTAATCGTCTTCCCAGTCAGCGTTTTCACGAAGACCTGCATCTTTTCAGCTGCCGATCGAACTTGACTACAGGTTGGTTCTTTCTTCTCCTTCGTTAATTGCAGTGCCAGTTTGAATTTTGGTTTGCGTTAGTTGGGGGTAAGGACTAAGGAGGCATCAAACGAGATTATGGGCAGCTTACTTTTTCACTTTCTGGTTCCACCTTGGTACCTCTGGTTCTTCCTAAAAATGTGATAGACAGTGTTCATAAGATTTGCTCTGATTTTATTTTGGTTTGGAGAGGGAACATGAAAAGCCATGGCGGAATGGGAAGTCTTGGCAACCCCTAAGAAAGAAGGGGGTTTGGGATTGAAGGATCTAATTAACTACGTGGAATGTTGCTTGTGTAGCTCGCCTCCTATGGCTTTTGCTTATGCAGGAGGGGGAGCTTTTGAGTAGCCTGGATTTGCAAACACAGATTGAAGGGCAGATCTGTTTGGGATGTGCCAGTGACAGCAGCGTGTTCGTGGATATGGATTATGGAGGAAGAGTAGGCAATGCATCGCTTCTCTATTCAGAAGATATGACATTCAGTTCGAGTGAGACGGCCTGTGGTGAACTGGTGGCAGGTCCTTTGGGGCAAGTAGTTTACCATTCCGACATCGAGTGATAGCTTGGTTAGCTTAGTTGTTCTCAACCGAATCGTGACAAAAGATAAACTGAAGGCTTGGGGGAGAATTACAGATGATTCGTGTGTTCACTGTGTTAATGGTACTGCAAGTTGAGATCTGTTCTCTGTGTTAATGGTACTGCAAGTTGAGATCATATATTATATAGGTGTGTTCTTGTAGTAGAGCTATGCTTGCTGCTGTATTCAACAGTTTTATGCAGGGCTGGCCGAGTACATGGGATGCTTTATTGGTGAGAATATGTGCCATTGAAAAGAAGGGAGGACCTGTGGGAAGAATATTTGCAGCAACAGAATCTATGGAGGTATGAGAAAGGATCATAGCATGCTGATTTCACAGTTTAAGAATGAGCTATTATTGTTGGTGAGTTTAGACTTGAGTTACAAAGTGTGGCTCAATTTTGTAGGTTGCTTTGATTGTTTTTGCTGGCTGTGAATTGTGATAATGTGGACAGTTTGTCTAAGTTCAATTTCTCTGGAGTTGATGAGTGATACGAAATTCGATAGGCGACTGTAGCATTCCGAAACATACAAGGTCCCCCAAACAAACATGCGTTAACGAGACAGGGCACTACTCTCAACATTCAACCAAGTAAAAAAGAATCTTTGTCTAAATTAAGGCTACATCAAAGATATTCCAGGTAAACATCATGCACTAACACAAGTCATGGCCCAGGGATACTAACAGGAAAAGAAGCACTGATTTTCATTTTCACCATTCTAAGAGAATCACAAACTTTACTGTTATGCTCCCTGCAAACTGATTCAAAGATTAAACTTGTGGCGATTGAAAGATCTCGAGTGAAAGATGTTCAGCTCCTCGCTCGCCAAGTTCCTTAATTTGGCTGGGTATCAAGCTTCTGTTGTTTTGACTTCTGTTGGGCACTGAGATACATATGGTTTGAGCTGAAACCCAAATAAAATAACAAAATCTCCATTAGCAATCAGTCTGACCTCCAACGATCATGAAATACTAAACTTGAGAGATGAAAGGACAGCTAAAGGGAAAATATCCAAGTAATATGTAGAATTGGTGATAAAAAAAAATACCATCTTCAAATGCTTCTATCAGCATCTAATAGCTATGGATTGCACTGATAGCTAGAGCAAGCTCTCATGCATTCGAAATAAAGCATTATCTCGATCTAATTGTAACTCCTGTAATGGGGATCTCATAGCCAGAACTTTCTGATAACTTCGACTAGAAACATACTACATGTTTACCAAAGAAAGAATAACTCAAATAAGTATACATTACATCAATTACCAAAACTTAACTACTCTCAAACCAACCAACTTTAACGACTAGTCTCTGAATAACCTATAACATATTTACCATGCAACCTTCTACCCCTTCTATAGAATTTGGAACATCCATACATAAGTTTACCAAAGAAATCAACAGCTGAGTTTGAGAAGTGACAGGAAAGAAACAGCATGGAACTAAATTTACATCATATAGGGTACTGGCTGAAACATCATATACATTTGAAGCAACGAAACACTCCTAGATCATTAGGTTTCCAAGTACCAGCAAGGCCTATCTTCCCAGCTCAAAAACCAAACATTTCACTGTTAATATATGAGAGTACTTAGAGCAGAAAAAATTTACCATGAAGTTAGTTAAATCAGGGACTACGTAGTTGGGTAACTTCTCCGGCACGATGACATAACCACCTGAAAAAAGGTTGTTCATATTAAGGCCAATACAACCATGAAATGATAAAAGAACCCACAACTGGTAATGCAAATATTCATCAGCACTAATGCGATTTTGCGACAAGCCATTGCTCAAAACCTTGTGGCTTAAAGTTGCAGCACGTAAAGGCATTACTCTGTGACAAGAAGCACTTTAATGGTTCAATCCACATCCTAATTTTGCGACACAATCTATAGCATTAAGAATTTAAGCTCACAAGCAGCGAATTCCGCTCCAAAGATACAAACTTTCAGCAGCACGAAGACGAGGGAATCAATTCAACTACAGAGAGGCTAAGGAGTTGCTCGCGAACTTGCAAACCCTAGAATCGCGAAGAAAAACAGGGAGATAACGCAGACTAAATGAAGCAACAGCGGTCCAATTGAAAGCAAAGAAGGCACACCTTTACGGGTATGGAAACCAGTAGGCTTGCAGTTCTTGCCCTTGTAGTAATTGCGCGGAGCTCGTTTGGAGGACAGAATGTCAAGCGACGACGGCCGCTTCCTCCTCATTGCCCTCGCAATCCCCATTATCAGACCCAACGGCATTTTTCGATCGGAAGAACTTGAGCTTGTCACTCCCAAGAACGAAGGATAACCCGATTCCACGACTGGCCGGAGCTACCACAGGATCGCAATCGATTGTCGAGCGAAGCCACTCCCAGAATCGCTATGGGTTTCTGCTATTCAGCAGATGACAGAGGTAAGTAAAAGCCAGAGAGGGTTTAAGGTTTCTCCCACAAGACTTATAGACCGGCCCACATCTGAAAGGGAAGCCCAGCAACACAATCTTTTCATTAGGCATTAGCCCAAGTGATGGTCCAAGCGTAAATACAGCAAGGTCTAGTGATCTTTTGATAATAAAGAAATTACATCATCGTGGACGACGATGTTATTATAGATTGGTTTTCTCTTTTCTGTAAAGCTCTCTTGGTTGCAAAAAGATGCAAAAAAAAAAAAAACTAGATGGCATTGATTACTTTTTTTTTTTTTTCTCTCGTTGCCAAACTTACTGTTGTTAGAATTCTACTAATTGTTCCTAGTTAAGGGTTGGTTTCAACACAATTAGGCGTACATAACGCTTTCTTGCACGGTAATTCAGTAGAAGAAATATATAAGAAAGTACCACTTGGTTTGAAAATGCATTCTCAAGGATCTAACGTAGTTTGCAAGTTAAATAAGTAATTGTGTGCTCCTAAAAAAGCTAGCCGGCAATGGAATCATAAGCTTACTCAATTTCTGCTAGTGTTTTGTTATACACAAAGTCAAGTTGATTCCTCTCTTTTTACTAAACAAGTTAGTGAAAAGTTCATTGTAATCCTTGTGTATGTTGAAGATGTCATTTTAGCTAGTGATCTTTATAGGGGTGTCAGTTCGGGTCGGGTTCGGTTACCCGAACCGAAACCCAAAAACCCGAAACCGAAAATCACTCAAACCAAACCCGAACCCGATAAGGACTTGCGGGTTCCGGTTACCCGAAACTCGAAAATTCCTTATCGGGTTCGGGTTCGGTTAAAGCAAAACCGAAACCCGGAAACCCGAACGCCTAAGAATACGGGCTGAGTTCTATTCATTGGAGGTTTTTAGCCAGAACCCGAAAAACCGATAAGCAAAATGGAACCCGAAACCGAAAAATCCGAAACCCGAAACGAACCCAAATGGACACCCCCTAGATCTTTATATCAAATGCAATTCCTTAAGAATAATTTTGAGATATGTTCAAAATCAAGGATTAGAAGTTTCTCGTAGCAACAAAGTTATTTCTATTTGTTACTATACATTAGGGCTGCGAAAATAGACCAGACCGTTAGAAAAACCGTGGTCCAAACCGTACCGCACAGTTTGGTTCGGACCGTAGACCGTTAAGTATGGTCTGGTCTGGTCCATGGTCTGTACTATTTTATGTTTTGATCTCTTGGTCTGGTCTGGTCTAGACCGCGGTTTACCGGACCAAACCGTGGACCCAACTGACTTGTAAATATGTGTTAACAGCCCATTCGACCACTCTCCCAACACCCACAATGACACTCAAGTCTCAACCTTAGTTTTGTGAATCTCGTCCCTCCTTAATTCACAACCACATTTAACTAGAGAGTAGAGGTAATCGTGTCTCCATATGACATTATGTTAATGTTTATGACGTTATGGTGCAAGTTGGGATGCTTTTACTTTGTATCTTTGGTATGTACTAAGATTTAGAGTATCAAAATTATTGATGCATGTTAGGATTAATGATTTAAGGCAAATACCAATTATTTTTCCTGGTTATTGGTTCAATTTTTTGTGTGGTTGACTAAACAAATTATTCATTTTTCGTTGAGTGTGGTCTATCTGGATCAGACCAGACCGAACCAGACCGCACAGGCGTGGTCTGGACCGAACCGTATAGTCTATGGTCTGGTCTGTAGTCTATACTTTAGTCTCTCGGTCTGGACCATAGACCTTATAGATGGTCTGGTCTGGACCAGACCGCACCGTTTCCCAGCCCTACTATACATATGTCTTTAGATTTGTTAGACGATGTTGGTGCTTAGCTTCTAAACCTCCTCTTATTCCTTCTAAACTTGGAATTCATCTTTCTATCAAAGTTGGTAGTCTTTTGGATGACCCTTCTATGTATAGACACCTAGTAGGTCGCTAATTATATATGTAATACTCCATCGAATACGGTCTCCGTTGGTCATCAATTATCACAATTTGTTAATGCTTCTAATGATGTTAAAGATTGAAATTTATATCTTATTTCTCTAAATCTTATAAGCTAAGATAAATTTTCATCGAAATACATGTAACAAACTACATGCACCATCTTGGGGTTTAGTGTTTATGATCTACATAATTAGGACCTTGCGTTCATTCATTAAGGATTACAATATAATATCATACCCCAACATCCAATTAATTCGATATCTAGATATAATTTTCTTACCATAGGTATACCATAATTAAGCAAACAGGACTCGAAGATGGAAGCTTCTCAATTGGCTTGAAATCAGTGGGGGAACTAGGTTGAATTAGGAGGGGCTGTAGCTCCCCCTCCCCCCAAAAAAATATAGGTAAGACCCAAATTTATGAATTAGAACAGTCGATAAGACTTTATCCCCTCCCCCCTTCTTCCCCCAATTACGACATGGAGACACATTGCAGCAAGAGTACTAAGCGTATAATGTAGCATATTAGCTTGTTTTTTCTCTTCCACTTAATGTTACCTTTTGTCGCTAGCTTCATACAATTGGTAGTCTGATTACTTAAGTTGTTGTAAATTTGAAGTTTACCTTGATACTGATCGAGCTTTAGTTGAACTCGACAATTTTTTACTAGTTGACTATCGAAATTTGAACGTGAACTTTCATATCTTTATTGAACACCTTGTTTATTTAGGATCATACAAGACGTAACTAAATGACGAACCAACTTTAGAAGGTTGACATGATAAGTCATAAGAGATAATAATATCCAATCTACTCTAAATTTTCCACATTTCTTTAAAGTGGAAGCGTTAATTCATCACCATAAAATAAAATTCAATTTTCTTAACGAATCATATAACCTAAAGGAAGTTAATAATAGAGGAAGACGATGATGGTAGGGGGGGCAAGCCACATGCACCAAAATGACAAATGGAATGCAAAATCAGAATTGGAAAAAAGATATAACGGATAGAGACCCGACCCGACCCACCTCCTCACCTTAGCCTCCCCCATCATCTTTAATATAAACAACAACACCTAAAGATTTTCCTTCAAACTCCCTTCTCAGTTCTCACTCAGCAGAGCATTGAATGGAAATGTATCTTTCTTCTCCATGAATGAACGTGGGCTTTGTCGGCCTACTATTCCCCGTTTCTCACTACTTCCTCTCCTACCCACTCCATCCATGTTCCATGGATGGAGATATCACATCATCGTCTTTTTATCCATTACAAGACTTCAGGGAAAGATGGTTTTGAATTCAATGCACAGCCGAGTAATTAAGCATTCTCTTCCAAATGGCAACTTGGATAGAACAGAGTGAGTGACATCAGGAGCTTATCGACATGAAACACAAAGGTGGAAACTGAACATCATCACAATGAAGAACACGACAAGGTAATAGTAACAGCAACACCATCATCCTCAACAGCAGAATTTGTGGCATAGGAGAAAAGTGAAGCAAAAGGTAACAAGAACAGCAACAGCAAACTAATATAATCTCTTAATTAATATCCTCCAAAGGGTTGTTCTTTTGCCTCCTCTCATTTCTGGGTTCATCAGTCTACAAAGTTAAAAGGAAAAAAAAAGGTCTACAATAGAGGGAGTAACAGTAACTCCTCCAATTCCCCCCACCATGATCATCATCATAATATCCCAACCCACAATATCTACAAGTAATATGCTTGTAATAAAGACCATCCCTCAAACCAATTCCATCACCATCAAAAACGATTGAAAAGAAACACTAAAACAGAAAAGACAGGAAACTAGATGTAAACCATGAAGAAGAAGCTCATAGATAAGAGAAGTTCAGTTCTTCAACCAGAACCCCCCAAGGATTTGGTTCCCAAGGATGATGCATTTGTTCTTCATAGGTCTCTCACTGTATGGAAGTTCAGATTGAGTGCTTGCTTATACTTTTTGGGAACCAAGAACTGTGACAACAGGCCTTTTGATCTTCCACTTAACCTCTGGCTTTCCCATTCCCAAGAGTGAGCTCAAGATCATCCAACCCCACCTCAGTGATCCTCTCACCTTCCCATGGCTTCACCTGCTCGCCATTCCCAAACTCGAACTCCATCATCGTCCTCCCGTTCTCGACCATGATCGTGTCGTGAGACAGGTTCTGCTGGACCACCGGCGGTGGCTTCACGAGGTTATAAGTCGGAGATGTCGGCATTGCAGCAGCCATGGCAGGGGCGAACTTCTGGAAGCTGATCCACTGCCCCGACTCAACCGTCGAAGTATCGGATACCTCGTCGCACTCGGGTATCGTAGCCGGAGCAACAGCATGAAACTGTCTATGAGTCGGGCTAGCTGGGGCAGAGGCAGCATACAAGGGGTAGTTGAATGTGGCCATGGATTGTCTTGCCATGATGGACTCCCAGGTGGGGATCGTCGGCTTAGGGTTTCGGGAAGTCGGGGAGGAGAGAGGCGGGGTGACAGGAGCGCTGTTGGAGATTCTGAGAGGTGGCAGAGATGAAGGAATGGAGTTTCTTAGGAAGGGGAACATGGAGGAGGATGGTGGGTGGTGGTGGTGGTTGTTTTCGGTCCGGGTTGGACTTGGGAAGGATGAAGATGAAGGGCTGACTTGGTAAGACGGAATGGGACTTGGGAATGAAGACGACATTGGACTTGGGTTCTGAGATGAGTATGGAGTCACTCTCGCTGAAGTTCCAACAATGTCAAGCGGTGGAGGCCTGCATCCCTGGTTCATTTTTTCACACCCCAGAACACAAGATTGGACAATATGATCAGTAACATAAACAACAACGCAATTCAAAGCGACGAAAAAACCAGATCAATTCAAAGATTTCCATGAATGACAAGTAGGTTTCCTTAATTTTTTTACCCCCCTCCTTCTGACCCATTTCCAAGACTGCAGTTACTGGAAATGGAAGCTGCAATTAAGGTGAAAGTACTAGTAGATCTTCCCTAAATCAGCTGAATTGACAAGGGAATTGCTTACTTTGACTGAGGAAAGATACCCATTTGCAAAGAAACGGAATAGAATTTAATCCAACCCCCCCATAAACAAGAACTCCATGAAGAAATCAAACTTATTCTAAACCCAGGATCCAGCTCGAAAAGGGGGAGAAATTGAACCCGACCCCAGCTCCCAATTTACCACAATATCAAGAACCCGATTCACCAGATCCGGCGTGACAAAAGAAGAAGAAATCAGTACCTTGCGATAAGTAGTGCCGTCTTCCTCAACGACCCATCCAGCTTCCTGACAGAGGGCCTTCAAGACTTCGTTGTTGTCGCAGTGCTTGGGCAGATTGTAGTTCCCCTGAGCCCTGAGCCCAGTGAATATCTTCGCGGCGATGGCCCTCCGCCGCCGCTCCCTCCTCCGGTTGTTCTCCCTCTCCCTCCAGGACGGCTTCCTCCTCGCCGCCGCAGCTGCTGCCGCCGCCGCCGACGTCGCCCCGTCGGAGGTCATCCTTACCTTCTTTCTTTCTCCTCCCGGCGCCGGCTGCTGGTAATAACCAGCTCAAAGCAGGGGAAGGGGGGAAAAGCGAGGCAAATCAGAACAGCGAGGGCTGTGTTGTCTGAAACAGAGAGAGGGAAAGAGAGGAGAAGGAAGAGTTGGTCACGAGGAATGCGCTTTGATGTTGTTGAAACCTTCGCTGGAAGTGTAATGCAGAGAAGAAGAATCTCTCTCTCTCTCTCTCTCTCTCTCGAGCTTAGAGATTAAGTGAGAGAAGAGATCAGAGGAGGGAGAGATGAACAGAAAAAGGAAAGAGAGGTCTGAAAAAGAAAGCGTTTCTTTTTTTGTTTTTTATTTAATTTGGGGGGTGGGAGATGCCGGAAATGGTAGGGTGCAGGCGGGTGCAGGGGAAAGGCAGCCGTTGGAATGCTTTTTTTAATTGTGAGCCGTTGGATGATGATGGAAGTGAAGCAGATGATGAGATCAGTCATGTAAGAGACGTGAGGAAGGTTCGATGTTCAAAGCCAGAGAAAGGAAAGGAGTCTTTGCCATGTGTGTGGTCCCATGACTAATTCATTTAAAATTATTTAAATTGATATGATCCTTATAAAACTATTGTATAATAATGAAAAATAATAATGCGTTAAATTAATAACCGAAAACAAACCTCTACTATAATTATCTGAATTGGCAAGTTCATCAACAAACCTCTACTATTATTATATTTAACCATTTTTTCTTAAGAATGTAATTTTAAGAGAGTGAACTTGGCAACATTTTTCACTAAAAAAAAATTGTAATATGTAGAACGAGGGGGAGAGAGATATGGGGGAGTGTTTGCCTCGTGTAAGTAGTTTGTAGTTGTTGTCTCACGTTCTGGTTCTGGTCTTTGAAATGACCAACACAAAAATACTTATAATAAATAGAAAAGTATTTTATCGAATGAAATTATTACAATGTCCATAGAAAATTTATTTTTCTATTACCAAAAAAAAAGAAAATTTTCTTTTTGAGTTTTTTTAAGTTTTGGTTAATGGGGCATGAGAGGTGCTCTCTCCTCTCTCCTCGAGTGGCCGTCCAGGCTTGGTGGCTGGCTGCTGACGATTATCTCGAATCTATTCCTCACTAGTCTGCTAAATCAGAAAAGCAACCGGTACAATCATGCTGAGGATAGGTTGTTCATTGGTCCTGATTGTGGCTTCATGGTGGAGAGCGGTTCACGATGGAGGAAAAACAGAAGCCCGGGGGTTTCATGAGACCTCCCTCCAAAGGATTGCTGCCCGAAAAGGGTGCTTGGTAAACGAAAGCGAGGCTGGTTATGTGAGGATGATAATCCCGCGAGTGAATTTATGTTATCAAGATCTAGCTCTGCGAAAAGACGCAGAAGTGTTCGACTCCAAGAATGGCGATTTTGGCTCCCGTCGACGTCGGATCTGGTAGGCGATGAATCGCTGTTATCCAGGGCTGATGGTTTTACTGATGATATTGATGATCCTAATTGGAGAGATCATGCTCAGGTCGGCCTAGTTGATCGTGACTTTGACAAGGAAGCGGTGGAAGTCCGATCGCTGGTTATCAAACGGCAATGGCGAAGCTTTCTGGCAGGGGCGGCCGAAAGGTCGATCGGTGATCCCCCGTGCTTGTCCACGTGGGCAGGATCCTCCCAATCCCGGGAGTTGGGGAATAATTGCGTTCTGGAGAATGTTTCGGAACTGCACTCCCCTAGTATCTCGGGGTTGTTAGGGGGGTTCCAGGGGATCCCTGCCCAGCGGGGAAAATCTGATTTGTTTCCTACGCTAATTGAGAATCCTAATCCTATTTACCTCCCAACTCTTATACAAAACACGCCACTGAAACTCGGTTTCTACCGAGGCTTAGGGCCATTATATATACCATCCCCACCTGGGCGGGCTAGACTACCTATTCATCAACCTAGGCGCCCAGGAAAACCTGCTACAGTCGGAACTCTCGCCCTCGTGCCATCGTTGTGGAGCTGCTCAGGTATTTGGAGAATTTTGAATTCTCGATCATCTCTCCCCTCTTATCTCGTTATTTTAGAGACCCAAACACCTGTCATGCCGCTTCGTCCCATGCCATCCTTGAATGGTAAACTGGTTTCGGATGAAGTGCTAGGGTGCGATTATCCGGGTCTTAACGCGAGTTCTATTTCTTGTTGCCAGGTGATGGGAACGATGTCCCACGTAACAGAAGATCAAGTGATTCAATTCTCCTTTGAGGAAGTGCAATCGACCCGGTTCCGAGCATCTCGATCCCTCCTTGGTCATTTATTCACTAATGACCAAATAACCACTGTGGAATTGCGGGATGGTTTGTTGGATGCTTGGAAGATCCATGGGCAGCTGAAGGTCACGCGAACCAAGTATGGGCTCTTTGAGATCGTCTTGCCGAATGAGGAGGCTAAGAAATGGGCTCTCTAGCGGAATCCATGGATCATTAAGGATCGGCTGCTCACGCTTCGCCCCAGGTCTCCTGTGATCCCAAAAGGAATATGTGATGAGATGTCGAAATCCCCGTTTCGAGTCCAACTATGGGGAGTTAAGGAGGACTGTTGTACCAAACTCTTTGGGCAGAAATTTATAGCAGCTTCGATCGGGCAAGTTTTGGAGTCCGGAGTTTTTGAGTGCATGGAGACTGGGGAGCGGTTTATTAAAGTTAATACTGTCATTGACTTCTCCAAGCCCCTCCGATCGCAGCTAATGGCGGTTAGTGAGGATGTTGATGGCTTCTGGGTTAGTCTGAAGTATGAGTTCCTCCCGAGCTTTTGCTTCCATTGCGGCAGAGTAGGTCATGCTCGCCGTGACTGCACCTTTGATCCGCCGCGTGGGAAAGAGCGATTCGGTCCGCACATGGCGACGAAGAAGGTGGGAAGGAAGCTGTATGAGGAAGATGGGGATGCCCCGCAATTTGGAGGGCCTAGGCGATCCGTTTGGATAAATCGACAAAATCAGAATAATATGGTGGCGGGAAGAAATGAATCAAGCGTGGGGGCTCGGAGTCACACCCAAACGTCGGTGCAGTTGGAGCAATCTGCTCCCTTGAAAACTTCCTTGGGATCGGCGTCTCGGGGTGGAATGGGATTGCATCAGGTGAAGGGGTCGGGACGATCGCCCAAGGCGCGCGGCAGCCCGCGGGGCTTTGCCCTCAATCGCCCTCCGAAACTCCGACTGGGGAGTAGTCAGCAGAGACACCCGGCCGGTAAGAAGCCAGAAGCGGGTCACGGACCCCCTGTCGTCGTGGTGGCGGACCAGTCCCGGCCAGCTTTAGTGGGTCGGCAGGACCCCGGCCCGAAGTCGAGTGGTGCCTCATTTGCCACGATCCAGGAAGAGTCACGTTGCCGCCGTCTTATCCTCGAGGAGGATTCTGATGATGACATGGTGGATGTGCATCCCGCGGCGGCCCAGGCTACAGTGCAGCAACCTATGCTGAATGGGTCTTCGACGGTCCAGGCGGCGCACAGTTCTCCGACGGCAGCTGGGATGGAGAAAGCGGTGACGAGGAGGTCTCGGCGCTCGAAACTGCAGCCGCTGAAGAAAATGGTCCAAGAGGTTGCTCCCCAAGATGGAGTTGCTGCTGCCGCTGGCCTTGTGCAGTCCCAGCCGGGTAATTTGCGTGGTGGTAGGAAGCTTCGAAAGGCGAAGGCTTGTGTGGAGGATAAAGCCACGGTTGAAGCAGCATCTCCGCGGGACGGGGTGATTTTGGCCAGCCTTAATAGTGATGAGGTGGCAATGAACCCTCCTGCCATTATCTTGGGAGAGGACATGATAACGACTGCTATGAAGGATGGTGGTTCGGAGGGTTCAGTGTCGGGGGAAGAAGAGCAAATTTTTATGATAAAAAAGAGGACACCCTCGTCTGGATCCAAAAAGACTGGCCCCCCTCCCAAGGGTCGGGTTAGCCAAGTGGTCGCAGCTTTTGAGGCGGGATTGACCATTGCAGACGAGGTGGTGGAGCCATTCATGGCTGGCAGCACAGGCTGTGTTATTGAGCCTCAAATTAGCCCTCAAGATAGGGGGATTGGGGTGGTTGATGAGTATGGTTCTAATATGCTCAACCCACCTCCTGGTTTGAAGAAACTTCCCTTGGAGGTCATTGAGGGTGAGGTGGGGGTCCCGCCCACGCCGAAAAAACAGTTTGTGGAGGAGGGTGATGCGCTTGAAAAGGTGGAGGAAGCCAGCCTGGAGTGGCTCCAACCAGATAAATGAGGCTTTTAGCCTGGAATGTGAGGGGCATTGGACCTTCCCTCACATTCCAATCGGCTTTGGGTATGGTCTATTCGAATAAACCGGATCTCGTGTTTTTTCTGAAACAAGATCGAGTCGGCGTGTTGTCTCCCGTCGTATGCGGGGCCTAGGTTTTGATATTTCTTGTTGTTTTTTTGTGGATGCAATTGATGCGTCTGGTGGGTTAGTGCTTGCTTGGTCTCCGGAAGTTAATTCTTCGGTTATTTATTCATCCAACTTTTGTATTTGTTCTCAAATTAATGAAGTGGACTTTTCTTATATTGTGGTTTGTGTTTATATAAGTTGTGTTGTTTCTGTTCGAACCACCCAATTGGCGCAGCTTCAGGAAATCTGTTCTGCTTTCCTTCTTCCCTATGTGGTTATTGGCGATTTTAATACGATTCTTTGTGCGAGTGAAAAAGATGGGGGCAACACTTGGAATGGGAATAATTCGACCAGTTTGCGCGATTTTATTCATAATTTGGGTCTCCATGATCCTGGGTTCCAAGGTGACCTCTTCACTTGGACGAACAAGAGAATGGGTAGTGCGTGCATTCGTGAACGGTTGGACAGAGCCCTTTGTTCCCAGCTCTGGATTGATCATTTTCCCGAAACTTTGGTGAAACACTTTACGGATCAAGGGTCTGATCAGAGAGCCCTCCTTCTGTCAGACAAGCCTTATGTTCGGAATAGTCGCCCTCTGTTCCGATTTGATGTCCGCTGGGCGGAGAATCCTGAAGTTAGGGCTATGGTTACCTATGTCTGGAAGGAGGATGTCCAAGGGACCTCTATGTTCTGCCTATGGGAACGCCTTCAGAAACTTCGTCACCTATTATATGACTGGAGTAGAGCCGGCACTACGAACTCCCTGAGGAATGTTCGTACTCTTCAGAGCGAAATTGATAGGGCTAAATTGATCCATCCGATTAACTGGGATGTAGTCCGGGAATTGGAGGTTGAATTAAATCGGCAATGGGAGGCGGAGCAAATTTATTGACAGCAGAAGTCCAGGGTTCACTGGTTGAAAAAAGGGGATAAGAATATATCCTACTTTCATACGGTGACTAGGGCTCGTCGAAAGAGAAATTTTGTGACTGGCCTTCACAATGATAATGGGGAGTGGGTTACTGATGAGAAGGGAAAGGCTGATATCGTTGTGTCCTTTTATCAGCACCTTTTTACGATGGAGAATCAAGTGGGTAATATGGTTGAGCGAGTGGCAGCTTTGCCCATTGCGCGTAGTGTTACCCCAGAGATGAATGCCATGCTTACGGCTGAAGTTCTCCCCTCTGAGGTGCGTAAAACGGTGTTTGCAATGGGGTCTAAGCAGGCGCCAGGATCGAACGGGTTCACTGGCAAATTTTTTAAGGCCTTTTGGGATGTTGTGGGAGATTCGGTTGCGGCGGCAGTGTGTTTCTTCTTTTCTTCTAGTCGGCTGCTCCGTAGTTTCAATCATACGTGGCTTACTTTTATCCCCAAGGTCGATAATGTGGACTCCGTGCGCCAGTTGCGCCCAATCAGCCTTTGCCAGTTTGTTTATAAAATTATTAGTAAAATCATGGCGGAGCGGCTTGCCGGTCTGTTGCCTATAATTATCTCTGAGGGTCAAAATGCGTTCATCCTTGAACGTCAGATTGTTGAGAACATTCTGCTGGGGCATGCGTTAATGCATTATCTAAAAATCAAAACGCCGGGTAAGAAAGGGTACATGGCTCTGAAGGTTGACATGGAAAAGGCCTATGATAGAGTCGATTGGCCTTTTCTCCTTGCTGTTTTGGAGAAGATGGGCTTTAACTCTATTTGGCAAGGGTGAATTCGAGAGTGTATACAATCGTCGTCTTTTTCGGTTCTTATGAATGGGACTCTTTCTGGGTATTTCACTCCTTCCAGGGGGTTACGGCAAGGGGATCCTCTGTCCCCTCTTCTGTTCGTACTTTGCACTGAGGGTTTTGCGGCTCTGCTCCGTAAAGCCATAATGGATAAACGACTAGAGGGGGTAAAAGTGGCTCCTCGAGCACTCCGGATCTCGCACCTGTTTTTTGCAGACGATTCTTATTTATTCTTGCGAGGTACTCTCCGGGAATGCGAGAATTTGATTGAGGTCCTGAATGAGTATGAGGAATTGAGCGGTCAAAGGGTGAACTTGGCGAAGTCAGCTGTCTGTTTTAGCAAGAATATTGTTCACCCGAACCAGGAGTTCTTGGTTGCGGTGTTGGGTGTCGGGGCAGTAGGGGTCCATGATAAGTATCTAGGATTGCCAACTCTGATTGGTCGTTCTAAAATGGCCACATTCAGGTACCTGGAGGAGAAATTGCTTGAGCGCCTGCAGGGGTGGAAACAGAGAACGTTGTCGTGGGCTGCTAAAGAAACCTTGATTAAGTCAGTTGCTTTGGCACTCCCGCTACATGTGATGTCCTGTTTTAAGCTTCCGCTTTCACTCTGTCGCCTCTTGGACAGACATGTGGCCCGGTTTTGGTGGGGTGATGTGGAGGATCATTTTCGGATTCGTTGGATATCTTGGAGAAATACATGCCGAAGTAAGCATGATGGGGGGATGGGGTTTCGCCGGTTTGAGCAATTTAATCAAGCTTTGCTTGCTAAGATTAGGTGGCGTATCCTGATGGAACCACAGTCCCTATTGGCCCAGGTGTATAAAGGCAAGTACTTCACCAATGGTTCCTTTCTTGATGCTTCGGCTCGATCTCGACCCTCGTGGGGGTGGCAAAGTATCTTATATGGTCGGCAGCTTCTGGAGCAGGGGTTGCGGTGGCAGATTGGGAATGGTCAAACTGCGTCCTTACTTAAATCAAAATGGATCCCTCGACTTCAGGCTGATCCCCCCTGTTATAATCCTCAAATCTTGCCGGTGGGGGGGGGATCCGCCTGTCGCGGAAGTTATGTGTCCAGGTGGGGGGTTTTGGGATGATAGTAAGTTGGAGCAATGGTTTGATCCTCCGACCTGTAAGGCCATTAAGCCTATTCCCCTTCCGAGACAGAATGTCGCTGATAAGTTAATCTGGCATGCTACAACGGATGGGATTTTTACGGTCAAGTCTGCTTACCACTTAGCTGTCGACATTGATAGGAGGAGAGGTGGCTGGAGATCCATGGTAGGGTGGATGGATAGGGCATCCTGGATTCGATTGTGGGAGGTTAACATCCCCCCGAAGTTTAAAGTCTTTGTCTGGCAGATTTTTAATCGTATCTTGCCTACCACGGAAGCCCTTATTGAGAAACGGGTCCCAGTGCTTCCTCGATGCCCGGTGTGTTGGGCCAGTGCAGAAACGATGGAGCATTTGTTCTTCTATTGTCCGGTGGCTAGGGCCATCTGGGATTACTCCGCCCTAGCCTATCTTGGGGAGGGGCTCCCTCGTCATACCTTCCCGCTGTTCCTGAAACGACTAATGGCCTTGATTCATCAGCCACCACTTTTTATGGCCGTGGTTGCTGTCCTTTGGCGGATTTGGCGTTCGCGGAACTGGGTTGTCTTTTAAATCAAGCAGTTTGGGTTCCCGGCCTTGATGCACCAGTTTTATCAGCAGTATGAGGAGTGGGTTCGGCTGCCAGTGGAACGTGTCCCACGGATGGCTCCCACTATGGTGGACCTGCCAGGGACGCAACAGTTGGGTCTGGCTGGGGAGGACATGGTTGTTTGTATGTGGGATGGGGCAGTTAGGAGGGGCTCGCATTCGGCTGGGGGGATGGTTCTCTTTACTCCATCAAGGGATGTTTGGTTGGTGAGAGGGGTCCAACTTCCTGGCATGGATGACCCTGGGGTGGTGGAATTGCTTGTCCTTCGCGAGACGGTGCGGTGGTGCCTAGAGCTTGGACTCTCGGCAGTGAAGTTTGAAGGGGATGCCAAGGTTATTATTGATAAAATCAATCAGGCGGATACCAGAGATAACCGAGTTGGTGCTGTTCTGGAGGAACTTCTGCAATATTTTAACAGCTATTCTGGGTTTAGTGTTCGGTTTGTAGGTCGATGTCATAATAGGGTAGCCCATTTGGTGGCTCGTAAAGCCCTCTCTTTGGACCCGACTATGAGTCGTTCTTTTGATTTTCGGGCCTGGCTAATTTCCAGGATGTAACTGTCTATTATTTTGAATCAATATACGATTATCTTTCGTAAAAAAAAAAATTATTTTTCGTAAACTAATAACATTATAGTAAAAAAACCGGTAGGGTCTTGCTTTTGGATGGGGAAGTTTCAGTACTTGGACCAGGCCCAATTCCCACATGTCAAAACTTAAGTAAAAATTCCTTTTTTTTTTATGGACGGTAAAAATTCTTTTTAAGCATTCACAAAAATAACCTTTTAAAAGGTCACAACACGAAAATAGTTAATAACGCTTGACGCCATTAACTTTATCAAATTGCTTGGTCAATTGGCTAGCTTGTTGCCTAAAGTATAAATGACACATGACTTCACTACGACACTATCATTTTAACATAATCCTTCACCCCATTCATAAATAAGAATACGAAAATTTACACTACATAAGATTTGTTAAACACCTTCGATCATATTTGTAAAAAAATAAAAAACTAAAAATCTCTAGGCCAAGCACATGAAGCTGAGTCTTCGATGCCTAATGAAAGTCCGAAACAAGGGCATAAATCGTAGCCTATATAAAGGTTAGATCTTTGAAGTAGAATTATCTTCCTATTTCTCGTGATCTTACATTCACCTTTTTCTTAACGTCTTTTTCTCTACTTTTTTCCCGAACACATCTATGTTGCTTTGACATACAACGAGCTCGAACAAAAACATCCATGCTCAGACCCCCAATCAAAGTTCAGTGTGATTTTCTTGACTTTAAGGCTAATCATGTGGATTCAACTCGACTTGATCCCAACAGAAGAAGCCCACTACATAAAAAAGGACACATTAACTGCGAGTGAACAGTGTGAAAGTCTATGTAAATGTGGCTGAAAAAGCAGTGTTGGATTATGAGCCAAATCCGGAATCCCTCATTGTTCCTAATCAACGTTAGCACCTCTGCTACGTCCAAAAGATAACAGAGAGAAAAAGAAGGGAAACAACATCTGCAAAGCGAATCCCCATTTTACTTTGGAATTTGCAGTGTTTCAGACAAGGAAGTCAGAGCTGCCCAATACAAAGTCACAAAAAAGAGGGCAAAAAATCTTTACCCCAAATTGAAAAAGAAGAAGATGGTCTTGCTCTAAGTTCACAAACAAAAGCAATCATCTTTGGGACATCTCAGTCAAAAATGAAGGGCACCCACGACCCACCACTTTCACATGATATCATATTTTCTTTTCTTTTGGTGTTTGCCTGCTAGCTGATCATCGAATAATCTCAAAGTACGTGCATTAATATATTCATTATAATCGGGAGTGGGTACAGTTATTACAAAGATATAAAGAGATTAGTGATAATCAAGAGACAGGAAAACATATGTGATCCATCCAAACCTCCACTTTTGGGGTAGTTATTATTTGTTTATTTTAGTGGAGCAACAACAATTACTGGTTCGGTAATGATCGTAGGTTATTAATTTTTTAAGATATCATAAACTTTGTACATGAAACTTTAAGAATTTATATGTAATATGTTTGTAGTATAGTGTTTGATTTGTATGGGTTGGAACCATGGAGCTAAGCTAATCGAATTCAGGATAGTCGTGAGTGGAGCTTGATGGCTTCCATCTGCATGGCCAATCATAGGGAAGGAACAAGGAAGTGAAGTATGTTGTACTCGGGTTTCTTCAAAATCGGACACATGTCTAGAAAGGTAAACTTTTTTTTTAAAGAAGGTAAATTCCATGATAATGTATCTAAATTCCATGGTATTGTATGGTATCTTCTTCGTTTTTAATTCGTTTTTGAAAACGTTTGCACAGAAGGGACGAGTTCATCATGATCTATTGGATCTATTAATTTCTGGGTAAACAAATTACAGGACCAAAAAATACCACACAATACCATACAATACCACCCTGGTACGGGGTGGTATTGTGTGGTATACAATGTTAAAAGTCGTAAATGACAATTAATATACTTCTACTATCATGTGTTCAACCATCCTACAGTCTTGGTTTGTTCATACCACCATGGTTTGTTTTTCAAACCATAGGTATGCTTTTATTTCAATACTAGTCAATACCATATGGTATAGACTGGTAAAAAATGACTCAATTTTTTTTGTTCGAAAAATATATTAAAGTGGATATCATTTTGAAGAGCACAATTAATCTGATCTAACTGTGCAAAAAAAAATTAAATTTTGACTTAAAATGAGTGATAAATCGTCCGTCAAAGATTAAAGAGGGAAAATTAAAGGCTTTCCAGGAGAGAGGATGCTGATGTCATGCTGATGTGGACAGGTTACTCATGGTTACTCACCATAAGGTTACTGACCTGATCCATTCTCCATATATATATATATATATATAGTGTTTATATATATATATATATATATATATATATATATATATATATATATATATATATATATATATAGTGTCGTCAATTTGTGTTGTCTAATATACTTTCAAAAGTGTTGTCAATATGTTTTTATGAAGCGTCATTTGATTAGTGATAATATAATAATATATTGATAACTTTCGAGTTAGTGAAGGACTATTATAGATCTAGTATCACCTCACGTTGTGCCGTTAAAATAAAACTTAAACAAATATTTAACTCTGGTTAATTGGGAGTTTTTTTATTTATTATAATGGCAATAACGGGCCTCTCTCCTGCATTTGTTGAGTGGATTGAGGTATGCACCGGGTTGTTTGAAAGTTGAGATTCTTCAAATATATGTATTTGATGAACACATGTATTGTAAATACAAAGATTATATGAATTATATGATTGGAAGACTGTCTTGTTTGTTTGTAGACATTCAAAAAATTTAAAGAAAAGAAAAAATCACTTTATGAGCTAAAAGTTGAACAAAGTAAAGCCCACAATCTCAAGTGAAGAATCTCACCTTTTTGCTGAGATTTAAAATGAGTGATTGTGGGTGATATGAGATTTCAGGGCTCACCTCAAATGCATGTATTGAATAAAGTTTTGAAACAAAAAAACAATGGATTCTCCAGAATACATGAATTCAAAGAATCATAACTTCCAAAAGACCCCGTAATTCTATACGGTACCTATCAGTAAATTAATTTTGGACTCTTTTTATTTTTTCTTGTTTTTTTAATTGGCCCATATATTCTTCATTTTAACTTGGATTTTTTTTTTTTGCACAGATGGAACGAGTTCGGTGTGCTCTACAAAATGAGATCCATTTTCAATATTTTTTTTAGAAAAAGTTTCTTGTCTCTCGTTACCAACTGCATATCATATGGTATCTTCTTCATTTTTAAGTTGTTTTTGAAAAATTTTGCACAGAAGAAACGAGTGCATCGTGATTAATTGAATCTAAAATTTTTGGGTGAAAAAATACAGGACCGAATAATACCACACAATACCACCCTGGTACTGGGTGGTATCTTGTGGTACACAATGTTAAAAGTCATAAATGACAGTTAGTATACTCTTATTATCATGTATTTAACCATTCTACAGTCTTGGTATGTTCATACCACCATAGTACTCTTTTTATACCATATGATATGAGCTTATTTCAATACCAGTAAATACCATATGGTATAAACTAATAAAAAATGACTCAATGTTTTTGTTCCAAAAAATATCAAAGTGAATATCATTTTGAAGAGCACAATTAATTTGATCTAACAGTGAAAAAAATTAAATTCCGACTTAAAACGAGTGAGAAATCGTCCATCAAAGATTAAGAGGGGAAAATTAAAGATTTTCCGGGAGAAAGAAAGGCGTTCATGTAATGAATAATAATTAGGTTATGGATGATTACTCACCACAAAAATTGCTGACCGGATCCATTACCGTAATTCTACTACGATATTGAGTCTCTTGTTTGACCGTGCTTCACTGGCGGATCCAGGGGGTGGCCACCCCAGGCCCCGGCCCAGCCCTCCTCTGGATCCGTAGTTACTATAGTCCTAATGAAAATTTTGATTTTAGACATTCAATTCAGTGTTATTCTATGATAAGATTGAGTTTAACTAGAAAAATTATCAAGTTGAACATATTCAAATCACTATTCTAAATTTAGCCTAGAAATTTTAGCCCCAAAGATTATGCGCCTTAGAAAAACAATGAAACCTAAAATTCTAAAAAGTTAAAAACGTAAAAGACTAAAAGAAATATGAGGTTTGTTCCCTTACAAATTTACTAAAACAGCTGGTGTGCAAGGATGGACACACAATGTACATTGATTAGTCGATTGATTTATCTAGTGTTGATGCTGCTCGTTTCAACAGCTACTACGAAGAGAACCTTTTTAACAACGAAACATGTGAGAACTGATTTGCTCAACAAAATGAGCGATGAATTTCTCGCCGATTGCTCAAGTATTTTATTTGAAACAGTGTATACTATTGGTATGGATGTAGACTTCATTATTGATGCATTCCCTAAGTTAAAATACAGTTGTGTACAATTTACATTGCAAAAAAACTATAATCATTATATTTTTATACGGTTCTAATTTTCTAATTAAATGCGGCCCAATGCTCTTTTGTGTTCTGGATCCGCCGCTGCCGTGATTATGTGGTTATTTTCCGCCTAGAAATGGACTTCAATGACGGGACCCCTCTCCCTTTGTCTATTTACCAATGTTGTGGACGTGTTATCTTACTTATTGCTTAAGACTACTTTGGGTTCTTAGCTTTCTTTCCATCCTCGACGCAAAAGCTCTTTGCAGATAATATCAAAATTTTCACAAATGATCCAGTTCGTGCTACTTGTTGCTAGGGAGATCTTGTAGTAATCGTGTAGTGAGTTCTTTTGGGGCATTGATGGCCAGCCAGCATTCTAGAAGTTGCTTGGTTATATGTTGTTCAACCTGAATGTGATCATATGGTGGTTTGGATAGAAGGGACTTCAAGTTGTGGAACAAAACATATATTATTGACCACATTATTTACGATGACTTGGTTGAAAATGAATCTTCATGGGTAGCCTCGAATCAGAAGTATAAGCTAACACATGGTTTAATTTGGAATTTATCCATGAATAATTTTCTTAGATTTGGACGTGTATTTTTAAATGCCAAACCGAGGTTGTGGCCTGTGCGCCACATCTCGAGGGCTAGCTAGGTTCTGCAATTGATGGTATGATTGAGCTAGGTTTACCTCGCTAGTTTAGTATCTTGGCATCTGAGATTAACTGGAGGACTAGAATAAGCAGAATAAATATGTGTTAGGGATTTAAGGGGCGGATAGGAAATGTTTGATTAATAATTTTGATGAAAATTACTAATGTGTGCATTATATTGAGTCTTACCCGAAAACCCTGATAGACTTAAAGATGTCAAAGTACTAAACTAGCCGCTAAACTAATAATAATAGTTCCTCATAAAAAGCTGCTTGCATAGCTAGTCCAAAAGTGGAATGATTTAAAGCAATTTGGCGGAAATTATTATGTATTCCAAAACATTGTGCTTGGAGGCATATTACAAGAGATAACCTAATGATCAGTTCGAAAACCCTATTGATCATGCTTTGTATGTCGTATCTAAGTGGAAGAAGTCACGTGATCCTCTATAAGTCGAATTGATGGATCCTTACATATCCTCCCAAACTGTTGAATTCGAATTCTGATTTGTTGGTGCAGCACTCCCCGTGTTGAGGAATCGAACGAGACGCTGAAGTTGTTCGCTTGTAAGCCTCAGGGACGGGACTTTCTGCCGATTCGACTTGAGCTGCTCTCGACGCCCCCTTCTTCTTATTCGACTGGTTGCCTTTCTCCTTCGTTTGTTCAGTTCGATTGCGTTTTACTCGCCTTCGGATAACCTATAACTTACAAAGAAAATTTCCTTCGCTCTTCTCCTTTCGAAAAACTAACTTACAACTTATGAGTTTTAAACTTTGTACAAATCTGGCATATCACAGTGCTTGGATGCACATGGTCACTCCCTGAAATGTGGATTTCATGTTCATTGTGTCCACTTTCCTTCTCCCATAGCATACAAACAACCACTTAGGCCCACTTAGTTTGTATCTTCCATCGCGTTTATGCTACATAAAGGACCTGTTAGCAACAACATCAGAAGCTCAACACAACTTGTTAATAGGTTCATGAACTGCAATAATTGGTCAACCTATCAAAGAAAAGTGAATTGAATGACAGTGAAGGAATGGACCAGCAAAGCATGCTGGCTGGGTTTCATATGTGACAATGGGCTCTGATCCTTTGTTTTTGTTCGTTTTGTTCTCAGACTAAGGGGCTTCTCATTAATCATTATTGTTTCTTTTGGTTCTGCCGTGGGTTTTGGTTCGTTTATCCTTTCGCTGTCCATCTTTCTATTTGACCGGACCTCATTTGTTTGGGCCCGACTTGGACTGGCCTGCCCACTATCCATCCAATTGTCTTTCATTCTTTGTCCGACTATGGGACTCTGACCACACCAATCTAATAAGGGACCAGATAGGGTGCAACAGATTCCTGATGAGAAAAATACATACATCCTCTGAATCTGATCTGTCTCATTGTAGTACAACAGTATCATCCTGATTCAGCGAAAAAAAAAATGGGAATCCTGAAAGCGAAGAGGCTCGTTACCCCACGAAGTCCATCTGGCGACCATCTCCCTCGCGAAAAGCTCGATACATCGAGGAGGGTGAGCGCCTGGCACATATTTCTGCAGAAGTTCTAAAGTGATATAGCAGATGATCAAGATTCTTTCTTTCCCATTGTAATCTGTGTTACGGGGGGATATTGTAAATGTTGGATGACCAAGGGTTTACCTCCAACTGGTGGCTTTCTCGAGTAATCTCCCGGGATGCTTATCACGATTTGATCCTCCATAGTTTCTTCCATTCCCGACAGCAGTTCAGAACCATCACCCTGCTAAAAGCACTCTTTCTGAGTATATTGTGATTCACGTAGTGTATGAAAAATGGAATGCTTATGAGTTTCATGCCCACATTAGTGTCTCACCTCCCCGTTGCAGTAGCCCAAAAGAAGGCACTCATATGGCCTGTGATGAAATAGGTCCAAATCACTGGTCAATGATCCATCGGCTTTGACCTTCAACCAGAACAGGCTAGCAGCATAAGTAACTCCCCATGAAGGAAACAACTCTTCCTCGACAAAATTTCTCAACCTCTCCCTATTGGTCACCCATAACCCTACAAGAGCTCCATCCGAATGGCCGAGCTTCTTAATGGGAAGGCTCAGGAAATACCGGTTAGGCAAAGTCGGATACCTGGAAAACATTTTGACAAACAAGCACATAGAAAGCCTCTGCTCATCTTGGTAAAAATTATAGAACTTTTAAGGGTAAAAAAGAAAGCATTTTTGAAAGTTACACACTTTAGTTTCTGATGAGCACTCGCATTTTCCCATGGGGGATCAATCAGTATAAGATTGAAGCCGCTGCCAGGATCAGCTGCCACAGACCAGCAGAATGAATTACATTGGTTTCTAATGATCATTGGATGAACCAAGGCTTGGAAATTCTTGGCATCAAGAAACAGGCATCAGCATTCCAGACCCCTAAGGGAACCGGAAACCAAAAACTCAAGGAAGCTACATTTTGGAGTTTCATATGGAACAACTACCAGGGATCAGGTTGTGAATCTTCCCCAGGTCAGACTTCAGGTGCGTGTACAAGGAAAGACATGCAAAAATATGTAAGAGCAAGCAAAACTACAGTGGAAAACACAAAAGGATTCATCAACAATAAGTTACCATGTAGAAGCAACTCTGTCGAGGTATCACATATTTCCTGCTCAGGAATTCTGCTTCCACTTCATCACCAATCTCATTCACAACCAAATTGTCAAACACAGGAACCACTCGCTGGTCACACCATTGATCAACATTGTCCCCTGAGAGAAACCAAACAATGGATGGAGACAGTCTGAATTCACTCATTAAGCTAAGGCCAAACTCTTTTTGTTCATACTGACCTTCATTTTCGTTGCTCCCGCAAGTTCGAGGAACGTTGAGGGTTATTTCGTAAAGGGGAGCTTGCCAGACTTTTCCGAGCTCAAGAAACGAGGGCTCAGTTCCGCCGGCGGTTAGTTCCCGGCGTTCCGCTGTGGAAGAGGAATCCCAGCTTAAACTTCTGAGTACACCCAGAAGCTCAGCAGCTCCGATCAAACATTTGTGCGCTTTCAACAACATCGGCCGAACTTGCTTCGAAACCAGAAATCCAAATAAGCCCTAGAACTTGACGAAGCACAGTGTTCAATTAGAAGCCGATGGAAGGTTATCAGCCAAAATTACCTGGTGGCGCTGGTCGGCAGCTTGTTCTCGTTCGTTCAAGGTCAGAGGCTTCTTCTCCTTTCGCTTCCGCTTCTTCGAACTTGAAGAGAGCTCGGTTTCACGGAGGACGCCATCGGCGGCGACATTGGAACTGAAGAAGCGGGAGTAGTATGTGGAAGGAGAAACCCTAACTCGGGAATATGAGCGATTGAGGACGCGTACTGGGTCCATGAAGACGACGGGGACGGCGGAGTTGCTGAAGCGGTAAATGCCGGACTGTAAGAAGGAGGTTAGCTGATCCCTAGTTTCGGATTCCGCCATTGCTCCGCTTTCCCCCCGGCGTCGGTGGGTTGAGGCGCTGGAAAAAAGAAAGTCACCCAGTTCGGTTCAGCAGTTGAAACGACAAGTCGCCACGCCGTGTCAAAAAGTTCTATTTATTTTTTCCCGAATTTGTATGAATAATGATTTAATGCAAATTCGTGACCCTGAATTTCATAATTTCCAAATCAGCCCACGAACATTGCTTTTAGGAAAACAAAGTCCCTGAACTTTGTAATTTTCCACAGTGATCCCGTGTTACAACTTACAACACTCATTCCAACATGGTCTGAAAAGTGTTATTCATTAATGCTTTTTTGTCTCTTGGAGATCCACAAAATTGGGATGATAGAGAGAACATCGGAATATATAAAACATTATTGTTGCCAAGAACAAAATTGACAATATCAGCCAAGCCAAAAAATCTCAATTGTAAGAGTCTAAAATTCAACGTATTCCACTTGCCTCCACTTTCTAAGCTTACTCTAGCATCATCGTTCTATACTGGGATTCTGCCTCCAAAACAAGAAAAACTTGGAAGGCTTTGGCAATGTTGTAGGCTTCGAATTAGTCTGAACTACCAGACCATAATGATCGGATACTCCTGGTGCAATTGCCTGCACTATACTACTAGGAAAAGTTTCTAACCACTTCATATTGACCAAAACACGGTCAATTCTGCGGGCTATAGGATTGTTAGATTGCTTGTTCCACCAAGTGAACCAGGAACCTAGTGTTTTATTATCCACCAGCTGCATATCCAAGATTCACTGCCTAAAATCAACCATGCTTTGATTAGTATTAGGGTTGTTTGATGCTTCACAACTATCTACAATGGCATTAAAATCACCAAAGAACACTCCATGCTCTTGGAAAACCCAATCTGTCTCAACTGACCATAGAGAACCATTCTTTCAGCCACCTTGTTTGGACTATAAACTGCAGTAACTCTGCAAGACTCAGTTCCAGAACATACTCGCACACTAATAAAGTGCTCCCCCATTCACACTTCACAAACTTTCAGGTAAGATTTCCAGAACAGCCAAATCCTTCCAGAAGAAGAATACTTATAGTTATCAAGATGTGACCACTACTAAACTGCTTACTGAAAATATCATTAACATTATTCTTTAAAACTCTAGTTTCTAATATAGCAAACAACTCTGCTTGTAACTTAAATAATTTTTTATTTACGTACCTATGCTTCTCATGGGCATTGAACCCCCTGAGATTCCAACATAAGAACTTCATTTACCTTTTTTCTTGTTTTTCTCACCCTTGCGTGGAGAAACAGGGGCTACTAGACCAAATCCCTTCGCGTTAAGCGGCACACGAGACTGAACAGCTGAGGCTGGAACCTTAATCATACTCGACCGAGGAGTTGAATTTTTCCTCATTACCACAAGTTGAAACCCATCCTCATCAATCAAATTGTTTGCCTGAGGAGGAGTGGCTGAACTAGAAGCTACAACAGTAATCTGCAGTCCCTGGGAGTAGGGATGGCAATTTACCCACCCATGGGTATTTTTGCCCAAACCCAATTATATCCATTTATATGGGCTGGGTATGGATTTATTCTATATGGATTTGGATAATGTTTGGGTAGGTGGAGTTGGGTTTGGATTTTATTTTTGGGTATGGATTGGGCTTGGGTACCCATCTCCTTTGACCTGCCTGTATGTGTTTTTTTTATTAGGTGTTAAAATGTAAAGCGAAATTTTTAATGTACTAAAATAAAATCTTCCATATATGATGCTGGACCTATTTGTATCTTCTTAAAAACTTCAGGTACTAAAATGTAACTTTGGCTATCAACGACCATCGCTCTTCGTCGGCTGCTTCGACGGTGCCGAACGTCTGTGCCGAACGCTTACGACTGATAGGCGAGGAGCTGCTCATCATCAGTGTGCCCGTCACCAATGCGGTGGTGCTCTTCGTCTTCAGCGTCACCTGCTCGTCGTCGTTCTGCATCGACATTGACATGTACACCGGAACCCCGAAGAATTCGAGCAGCGAGACCTTCCCCGCCGCGGTAAGGTTCTTGAATCTGGGCAGGAAGGCCTTGAATGGGTCATCGCCGTCGTCGTCCTCCGGCCGGCCGTTCATCGATCTAGGATCTAGGATCTGGGCTGGGCATCGAACCATCTGCCTCGTCGTCATCACGTCACAAGGTCCAAGAAGTTGAAGAGGAGAACTCGTCGGTGAAACAGGTGAAGATGACGCAGATCAAGCCGGAGTAAGATATGGCGAGCGGCGACAGCGGGTACTGGAATTGGGATGTCGACATGGATAATTTGGTTTCTTCCACGGATCTCAACATTCCGTGGGATGATTCAGAGATTAAATTGTGTGATTAAGGCTTTCTCTCCCTTCTTCTGACTAAATTGATTAATTATAAGTTAACTAATTAAGGTTAGTTTTAGCTGGGGAGAGGGATGGATCATGGAATGGAAGTGTGTAAAGATGATGATTCAGAGATTAAATTGTGTGATTAAGGCTCTCTCTCTCCCTTCTTCTAATTAAATTGATTAATTATAAGTTAACTAATTAAGGTTAGTTTTAGCTGGGGAGAGGGATGGATCATGGAATGGAAGTGTGTAAAGATGATGATTAGTTTCGTTCTTTAGAGTTTTGATTATGATTTGGGTTGGAGGGTTTGGAGAGGGACGTTTCATTGTTTTGTAAGAACAATGTGGGTGGGTGAGTTTATTTTTAAAATTTCTGGTTTTTTGTGGGGATTTTAACAGTTTGGAAGAAGAAGCAGAAGAAAAAGGGGCTGCAAAAGATCAGTGGGATATCTCTGGGAAATAAGGAAAACGCCAATTCTCCAACATATTGAATTTGATTTAAGAAACGCTTGAAAACGGTTTATAGAAAATGGATAAGCAACCAACCAGTGTTCATCAACAATATCATAACAAAATGAGGGAATATCCATCCATGTCACTCACGTCACTGACAACCAACAACATACATAATACCTAAGATTACCACTTTGTGCTTCAGAAAAGTGCAGCATCTTTCATAGAAAACAGCTGCCCTAATAATAACTTAGATAGATGACTTCAGATACAAACTCCCAGATTCTTTCTCAGTCATCATATTCCATAACTTGTTCATCATCACCGCCATCATTCTCAGAGAATATGGTTTGAGTCGAACCATCAACATCTGAAGAGAAAATGGCTACACCTGCAAATATAATAACACAACTGAATAAGAAACAACTGAATTAGAAACAAAAACATTATCATAAGCTTATCCTTTTTTCCTACTACATGTTTTGAATGGAACAAAACTAACCCTCTTCTACTTGCAGCAATAACTAGCAGCTCCTGTAACTTGCCTCTCTTTATCATTATCACCTCCTATCTCCTAAAAATCTCAATCAAAGAATTCCTAACCAAAACAGGTCCCCAAAAGAACCCCCAAATTACAAGAGAAAGAAAGAAGAAAGTTGTATAATCGACACATAACAACAAAAAACTGCCTTGCCTGTATGTTCTTGTTACAGTACTGGAACCACAACATACACAGAAAGCACAACAAAAGCCTCCACAGAAAGCAGAAAATGCACTCAACCACAACATACACAGAAGGTAAATAATGAATAACAGCAACAACAAGTTGTTTCTTACCATGAAGTTCATTCCTAAGCCAGTTCTGGGTGCACATAAGAGCCTCCACAGTCGTGTCATCAAGGCGGCTACGATGAGGGTTCAATAATCTTCCACTTCTGCTAAATGCAGGTTCTGAGACAACTGTTGACGCTGGAATGGCCAGAATGTCTTTAGCAATCAGCCTTAAGGTTGGATATTGTAGGCCATGGTTCTTCCACCAAGATAAAATGTCGAACTCTTCGCTTCTTGGGATCAAACCATCTCGCAAGTATTTGTCAAACTCTTCTTTAACATTCCAATTAGATCCAGTACTACCAACATAAGAATCAAAGCTGGCAAGTAACCCAGAACTTGCATGTTGATGTGGCGATGAAGAAGAAGAATCCATGCTAGGTTTTGTAGTCTTGTACTCACTCATAAGATCATAACAAAAGTCTCGAATCCTATTAAAATGAAAGGTAGATGTGCCAACATAAATAATGGGAAAGGCCCACTCTAATAGCTTCATCTTGAACCTAGGATCCAATATAGTTGTAACAGCCAAAGTTTCATGGATAACCTCCCAATACCTATTGAATTTATCCAACATCTCTTCAGCCATGGTTGCAATAGTTACATTTGGACTCAACTGCCACTCGTTTAGAGCTATTTTAATCTCACAAACCTTAGGGAAAATGTATTAGCCGTGGGGTAAGTAGTTCCTGAAAATGTCTTTGTAGCTTCATGAAACAACTCTAGCTTCACACATAATTCAGATGCCATATCCCATTCCTCTTCACTTGGAAAACATACATAATATGAATCTCTAACAATCAAACGATCAAAGACATCCTTATATATCAAAGCAGTTGATAGCATAAGATACGTAGAGTTCCAAAGAGTCTTACAATCAAGCACCAACTCTCTCGAACAATCAATATTTGTAAGTCTGCCTAACACATCATTGAACTTTTGTCTTCTCTTAACAGATGAAGTCCAATACGCAACACTATCACGAATTCTCCCAATGCATTCCTCAATGACAGACAACCCATCTTGCACGATCAGGTTAAGAATGTGAGCAACACATCGCATATGAAATATAGAACCATTTAGCAACAACGTATCTTCTTGCAATTTTCCTAAAAGATCTCTAATCATAGCATCATTAGTAGTGCAATTATCCACGGTCACTGTTGAAATTTTTCTCACAATGTTCCATTCTGTCATAGAACTCAATAATACAGCACATAGAACATCCTTGGTATGTGGAGAAGGAACGTGGATAAAACTCAAAATCTTACTCTGAAGGACCCAAGCATCATCAATAAAGTGACCAGTTACTACCATGAACCCTCTTTTCCTGTTATTCGAAGTCCACATATCAGTGGTAATCGCCACCCTACTACTAACTTTTTCTAACTCATGCATTACATTCATCTTTGCCTTTTTGAATATCTTTAAAATATCACTCTTGATTGTATTTCTACAAACCATTTGAAACAACGGTTGAAGAGAATACACAAACCTCCTAAGCTCAACATAATCGACAACCGATAGAGGAAATTCATGAAGAACAATCATATAAGCAAGCTCCCTTCTACTAGTTTCTTGGTCAAAGACAGCAGGACTCGAACTTCCAGTACCAATTTTCCTTTTCTTACTACCCAAAAGTCCACCAACCATGACTGGATTAGCATTTTTTACTGGACATTTAAACAAATGATTGCGCAAATGAGAAGTTCCAGAGTTGGATTCACCAGCAAGCTTTCTATGGCAGTATTTGCATTCGGCTTTTCTCAACCCACTAATTACAACTCGATCATAATCCTTCCACACATCAGACCATTGCTTCTCAGAAGACCATACCATACGACTAGAAGACACACTAGGCTGTCCATGATTACTACTCTCATGATTCATAGATAGACTATCATCATTCATTTCTGAAGCCATATTTCCCTAGAAAAACCAAGCAAACAACAAGCAATCATTCAAACATTCACATTCAGATATGCTTCAGTTCAAAATGAGAAAAAAAAAAAATTAAGGAGAAGAAAGACTGTAAAGAAAATATCACAAATGTAGTCATAGTCATCAGAGTCAATGATCCAGTTAAAACCAGCAACCTACAAGTTCTTAATCACAAAGCTCAACTTTCAGTTAAAACAAGCAACCTCATTGCGAGAGATTCTATAAGATCCAAAACACGCCAGAATTAAAACCAGCTCAACTTCCAGTTAAAACAAGCAACCTCATTGCGAGAGATTCTATAAGCTCAACTTCCAGTTAAAACTAGCAACCTTATCTGGTATTCAATTATGCAAGGCACTTCCCCTGCATTCTTTTTATCAAACGTAAATCAAAATTTTCCCTGAAACTCATGACGTAAACCAACAAGCAATCCCAGTTTACAACATCTGAAATTCATGTTCCTCTGTTTAGTAAGACCCAGTTCACTCAGTGGAAGATGAAGCATACCTGAAGCTGGTTGGTCTCGGGTCGATTGGAGACGAAAACACCCAAGACGTCGGGTGCTGCCGGAGTGGGTTTCTGGTTGTCTATATCAATACGCCGGGTCGATTGGAGAAGAGAACAATCAAGACGTTGGGCGCTTGCCGGAATGGGTTTCTGGTTGGCTTCTCGACTGTATTGATGAGGCAAAGCAGGCAAATGGGCGGCGCTTCAATCTCCCGGCGGAATCTGAAACGTGGCGCGGCGCTTCCGTGTCTGATTCGTGAGGCAAGAGAGGCCAGCCTCAGGTCCGCTCTCCGATCGCCGTCTCCGATTCTTGGGTTTTGGTCATCAACATTGTCGCCGCCGGCGGAGGGTTGAGGGAAACGACAATGTCGATTGCCGAGTGAGTGAGACCTGGGAAATAGGGACGATGACGATTGACGAGTGAGTGAGGCAGAGGGTTTTTTCATTTTCATTTATCATTTTTTATTATTTGGGTTTGGATTTTGAAACCCAAATCCATGGGTAAAACCCAAGTGGATCCAACATTATGGGTATGGGTGTTGACCCATTAGACTTTACCCATTTAAAGTTGACTTGGATTTCAGATCTGGCCCACATGAGTTGGATATTTAAAACCCAATGAGCATGGGTAATTCTGCCATCCCTACCTGGGAGTCATCAGCAGATAAGCCCACAGAGGCTGGCAGAACCTCCTCCGTTTCCACTTTATCCTTCCCCTTATCCAGCATTTCCACGACACCTTGAGTCTGATCAGCAACAACATGTACATTACCAGCATTCCTACCACACTCAACACCTTCCCCCATGGCAACAAAACCCGAACCCACGGGTACCCACTTGACCTAACCCGGTCAACGCGCGTAAAATCCGTGTTGACGGGTTTGGTCCGGGTTTGGGTTTAAACCCATTCACTATTCACCGGGTTGGGTTTGGGTTTAGGTAAACCCGGCCCATGGGTACCCGCCCACCCCCATATAATTAATTTTCTCGATATTTAATATTCTAAACAACTAATCTTATTTATGTTTGTGGAGACATGTCTAATTTTTTCTTTCTAGTTGTGTAGAATGAAGTTGATGTTATCGTGTGGAGAGTGAAGAAACTTAATTGAAAGGAAGAAGCTTTCAATTAATCATGTTATTTATGGATAATTT